TATTTTTTGAAGGGTATAATTTTTTGTGATTCTCAGGTGCCTAAAACTCTGAACATTTAGAATCTAAAATGATAGGTCTCGAGGGTTCAGAACAGTGCCTGACACCTAGTTAGCACTCAGTTTGTTGAATGAATGAATGTGATCCACCCTTTTCATTTTTCATGTTTTGTAGAAACCCAGAGAGCTAAGGTAACCTAATAACACAGTGCTTATCATTAACCTAACAAAGCCTAGACCCCAAGAATAGTTATTCCTCTACCATGCTTCTACCCCCATCTCTGTTTTGTAGCTTCTCCCAAGTGACTTTAATATATGCATACAACAGTGGTTCTTCTGATATGACAGGTATTCTCAGACATGACAGAAATCTGACAGACCTTCCTCCATATATTCTGCTGGCATGTTAACTCAATTTTTGTTTTGTCAAAATAAAGACATAAAGAACTGACCTTTACCATATTTTAGAAAATAAGTTCTTTCTAAGGCAGAATTTGAACCAATAATCTTTGTCAATGACAAAAGTACTGGTTCATCAGTGGTGATAAATTTATCTTACAAAAATTCCAGATTCCCCAGGGGTAACAGACATGGGAAAGACATGCTTTTTGCTGAAATCAGAAGAGGCATTGCCTACCCTCATAGCACCAATTAACTGGAGCTAATTTAAGAGCTGCTCCCTTTAGGTAAGTAGATACGCTCCAATTTGCCATGGTCCCATTACTCCTTACGTTTCTTACATTTGTTACCTCCCTGGTCTTTGCAAGCATTCAACTTTGGGACTTTGATATAACATTTTAGGGGGAAGGATATTTAAGAGAATTGTGCAAATGGGCCTCTCTTCTTCCTTCAGATGCTTGAATTCTTATTGTGTGTCTGACATAGTCCATCCTCTCCTTAAACACGCTTATGGTAGGGAACTCACTATTCCTGTGCAGCTGATGCATTTCTAAAAGATTCTAACAAGCTGCATGAGACTACCAGTCAGAACAAAATTTTCTTTAATGCAATAAGGTTAATCTAGCCAGGCATGGTGGCTCACACCTGTAATCTTAGCACTTTGAGAGGCCACGATGGGTGGATTGAGTTTGAGACCAGCCTGAGCAAGAGTGAGAAACTGTCTACTAAATTTAGAAAAACTAGTTGGTGTGGTGGTGGGCATCTATAGTCCCAGCTACAGGAGAGGCTGAGGCAAGAGGATCTCTTGAACCCAGGAGTTTGAGGTTGCTGTAAGCTGTGACACCATGGCAGTCTACCCAGGGCCAACAGAGTGAGACTCTGCCTCAAAAGAAAGAAAAAGAAATAAGGTTAATCCTAATGATACAGTGTTCCAAGTGAGATTCTAAGGTCAAGATCTCAAGCTAGGTATATTTCTCTGTAGATCAAGGAGAGAACAAAGAAAATTTTCACCTCTTGTGGACACAAGGGAAAGAACAACAGGGGTCCTCAACTTTTTAAACAGGGCCAGTTCACTGTCTCTCAGACCATTGGAGGGCTGGACTGCGGGCCCCAGGACGAGTCAGCTGCTAAGCAAGACAGCCAGCAGCAGCAAAAACACCCAGCCGGCTGGATAAATGTCCTTGGCGGCCGCATGTGGCCCGGGGCCGTAGTTTGAGGACGCCTGATACTAGCACCTTTCACTTAGCTCTTAAATCTAATTAATTTTAACTTGACAGTTAGGTTTATATCATACCCTCTTTATGGTTTTGTCCTCAGCTTTATTCTCAATATGAATTTTTTTTTTTTTGAGACAGAGCTTAAGCTGTCACCCTGAGTAGAACGCCATGGTGTCACAGCTCACAGCAATCTCTTAACTCTTGGGCTTAAGCGATTCTCTTCCCTCAGCCTCCCAAGTAGCTGGGGCTACAGGTACCTGCCACACCACCCAGCTATTTTATTGTTGTTGTTGCAGTTGTCATTGTTTTAGCTGGCTGGGGCCGGGTTTGAATCTGCCAGCCTCTGTGTATATGGCTGGCGCCCTACCCACTGAGCTATGGGCACCACCCTCAATATGAATTCTAATGTTTAGTATTATATGTAGTCATATATATTTTATTTTACTTAGATGTCACAGTGACTTTTGAGCCCTGTGCCGAATGTTAAATGTTGAGTCTTTCTTTTTTTTTTTCCTCAAATTGCCCCTGGGAAGAGTCTTAGGAGCACCAAACCCTCTCATTTTACAGATTTGCAATATTGTGCATAGGTCACCTATTTTCCCACATTATGGAAATTCTAGGACTAGGACTATAGGTTTTTTGAATCCTAGTCAGATATTTTTAGCAAATCATATTTAGAACATACCCACTTAAAACTGATGAGACGGTTTTTGTTTGTTTTTATAAGGAAACAAGGTCTCATTATATTGGCCATACTAAATTGCACTGACTCAGTCATAGCCCACTATAACCTCATATTCCTGGGTTCAAGTGATCCTCCTACCTCAGCTTCCTAAGCAGCTGGGACTACAGGTATACACCATCATGCCCAGCTTTAAATTTTTTTTAAGAGATAGAATCTAGTTATGTTGCCCTGGCTGGTCTTAAACTCCTGGCTTCAAGTAATCCTCTCACCTCAGCCTCCCAAAGTCCTGGGATTATAGGCATAAACCACCACACCCCTAACCTGATGAAACAGGTTTTCTAAATGTTTCCTGCATATGTTCATTGTCTGAATCATTGTTTCAGGTTGCTTCAGTTGGCGAGAAGACTATGAACAGGTCAGAGAACTTGCTCTTTACTGGCTTCTCACTAGCATCTCAAGTTCATGCTGCTGCCGTTAACGGAGATAAGGGTGCTCTGCAGAGGCTCATCGTAGGTAAGCAGTCCCCTGAAATATAGAAGCTTTGAAAGCAGTTCTTTCCTAAGGTGTTGCAGTAAGGGTCTCACGGAAAAGCGATGTCGCCAAGAATAAGCACGCTTATTGAAACTGTGTTTTAAATAAAGATGTCGCCAAGAATAAGCACGCTTATTGAAACTGTGTTTTAAATAAAGGTGACCATCTGCTCGCTCAGGCAAAATGGCGAGCTTCTTTATTTGCAGTTGGCTTATATAGGGAATTTTGTACATGAGCACAATGCAGCAATGACCTCATTGATCCATTTACACAGCTTATGACCACCCTCCCTGTAAGTAGCTCCTCCCCGGTAATCTAATAATCCACCTAACATACACCTTTAAGCATAATCCTTTCAATATAACCCGGTTTAACATAACTTAATGAAGAACATGTTGTTAATTATTACTTTCTTTGATCTTACATGATGAAGCCTGAGGCTACGGGGGAAAGAGACAATTTGAATGTCTGTTCTACTGACCATGCCATTTGGAGGCAGTTACTTTGAATCTTTAAGCAAAGCATAGAGAAACTTCTTGGGCATATAGGAGTTTGTGTGCAAACCTCTTCTCCCATGCAGGCCTTAAGTCGGGGGCGGGGGGTTGGGGGGGGGTTGCTGGAGGCTTTTATAAGGAATTCTCAGACTGGACTTCTCAAAAGCCTTTCATGAGCCCAAGTTTCATCTGTGCGATTAGATACTTGTATGACATTACCATTCCCAGACCTGTCAGCAAGCGACCTTCGTCACTTACCACAGATCAGGAACCAGACCCATCAGTAAGCGACCTTCGTCACTTACCACAAATCAGGAAAGGTTACTGATGGGTATCCGGCCAGCGGGCTTTCTCTTAGGCCTTATAAAGTCAACCTTAATTCCTTAACGCAGTCTGGAAATGCTATTCCAGCCAAAACCTTGTTCATGTTAGGCCTGCAACTAACCTGGCTACATGGGATTTTGCCTCAGTTTCTTAAGTATGCCTGCACAAAGTCTTTTCACTGCTCTCTCTCAAGCAGCTTTTTTGGCCAGAGGCATATAGGCATTTTGCCTATACTAAGGAAGTTTGTTAATCTTAGTTTTAATTTGCATTGTACTCATACATTTTAGTAGAAATACATATTGTTATTTATGTTTTCTTACAAAACTTGGACAAGAAAGAAACTAAGTCTTGAACCTTAAAAATATGGATTAGGTACAAACTACTTGAGAAATTTCTGTGTATTTAGCACCGAATAGAAAAGTATATTATAAGGTGCTAAGGGAGTTAATTTATCTTTGTTCCTGCAGTAATGGACATGTGGAATAAGAGAGTGGATAATGATCATTTTTCATTTAATGTACACCCAAAGTACTAAGGTTTACAAATAGTGTAACTTTTAATGATTTGAAATTGGTTCACATTGATTCAGTGTTTTTCTTACCATTTGTATGTATGAATGATATATAGAGGGTCAGTGTTGAAGTTCTAAACAGTGGTTTTCATCCTTCCTAATTCCATGGCCCTTTAATACAGTTTCTGTGAGTCGCGAACTGCTGTTCTAAGAGGAGAAAATAAAGTGCATAGAGGAGAGACATTATTCACAACAGAATGGCTAAGAATTTTCCAGACTTGTAATCACCATAAATCTACATATTCACAAGTCCCAAGTCCCAAAGAAAGTAAACAAAATAAAAACCTATATTATTTGTAATCTTTATACACACCAGTGTCTGTTGACATCATGGTTGACAACTTGGGCTACAAAATGAAGTCCAGATTGCTAGAACTTTCCCACCTGTTTGTTCAGAGTTTGTTTTCATCCTACATTTCTAGTTTCTTCACTTCATCCAGTGTATCCTAACTTCTGGCTAGGCTAGAGATTATTTCTATTCCCCAATATGTCACAAAAATTTTGTCTTTATATGTTCTGTTCCCCTTATTCTTTTCTATCTGCTTTCCTGTTACCTTCTTCTTTGCTAAAAAAACAAAAAAACAAAAAAACAAAAAAACTCCTACTAATTTTTTTTTTTTTTTTTTGAGACAAAGTCTCACTCCGTTGCCCTGGATAGAGTGTTGTGGCATCATCATAGTTCACAGCAACCTCCATCTCTTGGACTCAAACAACCTACTGGATCTTAAAGGACAACTATTTTATCACATACTCCGTGAAGATTTCTTTTTCTCTCTTAGAGATGTTATTCTCACCTCAGTTTCCTGTATTTACTGGAACTTGACATCTTCGACCACCTCCAGATCACTTAAACATTCCATCACTCAACTAAAACTCTTAACTTTCAGCTCACTTATCAATGAGAACCAATAGTTTTTCATCCTCACTGAGACCTTCAATCTAGTATGTTATCTAGTTTTGACCATCAGTTTTCTTCTGTCTTTACCTTTTCCTCTCTATTCAGCTCTAATTCCATGGCGTATTATTAAAATCTTTCTCTTGGAAAAATTCCCTTTTTCTCACCTTCTGTTTCACCTGGCTATTGCCATCCCAACTCTGGATAGATCATATATATATATATATATATATACTCCTGATAGCCCCTGAGCAGTTGAAATCAACTAAAAGATTGATATCTCACCAAATTCACCTTCCCCACTTCAGATAGACACCCAGCATCAGGAGTTCTGTTCCTCACACCGCATTTCTCCATAAGGAATGCTTCTCACCTTCTCACTCTTCCAAAGCCTCTGACTGCCAATTCCCCCTCCCTACCTTCTCATTAAGGCATTATGCTTCTTAGAGAAAATGAAGACAATGAGTATCTTTCAGCATGATATCTGCAAATCTACCTACATCTGCACTCATCTTCTTTTCTCTTCCTGCTGAAACAGAGCCAAGCCCTCTCTGTATGTCAAAGGCCAGTTCTTATACACATACTCTGTATTCTGTCCCCTCCTATCTTCTCAAGGACCTTGATCCCTTTTTCCTCTGTGATTACTACATCTTTAACCTTTTCTTCTATTCTAATTCTTCCCATCAACATTTAAACATTATCTGTTTTCTCCATTATTTAAAAATTCCTTCCTGTTTCTTCATCCCCCTCTAGGTTTTGCCATCTCTCTCAACTTACAACTGCGTTAGTGCACAGGCTGCACCGTTACAACTATGACTTAAATAAGATAAACATATATTTCATTCTCATAACAGTACCCAGGTGTATGGGCAGTGTGGGTTGGGTAGATATCTCTGCTTCACAAAACAATCCAGGCATGTTGCCAGGGCTTGGCTCTGCCATTCTCAACATGTGGCTTCCATCTGTAGGTCAAAGGCAGACACTGTGGTCACAGTCCAGTCAGCAGGAAGGGGAAAAAAAAGAGTGCAGAAAAAGTAATTTGTCAATAAGGAGGTGGACTGGACTTAGATACAGAGCTACATCTAGGACAAAAGAAGCTTTAAAAAAAGTCCCTGGCCCTTTAAAAAAAGATGGAGATTTTACCTATTTTATGTTTACATGGATGAAGCTGGAATATATTCCTCTTAGCAAAGTATCTCAAGAATGGAAGAAAAAGTATCCAAAGTACTCAGCCCTAATATAAAACCAATTTATAAACACCCACACTTCCATATGAAAGCTATAACCCAACTACAGCCCAAGATGAAAGGGAAAGAGGAAAGAGAGGGGAAGGGAGAGGGGAGGATGGGTGGAGGGAGGGTAATTGGTGGGACCACACCTATGGTGCATTTTACAAGGGTACATGTTAAATCTACTAAGTGTAGAATATAAATGTCTTGACACCATAACTGAGAAAATGAGGTGAAGGCTATGTTAACCAGTTTAATGAAAGTATTTCAAATTATATATAAAACCAGCACATTGTACCCCATAATTGCATTAATGTACACAGCTATGATTTAACACAAAAAAAAGAGGGGGGACAGAAAAAAAATAAGGTCCCTGGATGGTGTCGTGCCCAGCTAAAACTTAGGGTGCTCAATTTCTAAAAAGAAGAGTAGGGGAATGTATGGGGAAAGCAGTTATCACTCTCTGCCACCCAAACCAAGCTTCCTGAACCATCTGCACCTCTTGACCCCTCAATCCACTATTTTCTTAAAAGAAAACAAAATGTACTTCCTTTTTTGGAAATATACACACAGAAATGTATACAATTTATGTGTACCTTTTACAAATAAATATAAAGCAAGTATCGATGGATATATATTATCCACTGATTATCCATTAATTATCCAAAATAATATAAAACAAATATCAAGCAAATATCTTCCACCTAGGTCAAGAAACAGCACATTATTAGTACCCCTAGGAACCTTTAATGTGTCCTTCCCTCCCCATTACAGTAATCTGCTGTCTTGACTTTTTATAATAATCGTTACGTTTTTATCACGTAAGTATACATCCTTTAAAAAAATTTTAATTTTACCAGCGGTTCCTGTGGCTCAGTGAGCAGGGCGCTGACCCCATGTACCTAGGATGGTGGGTTCAAACCCGGCCCCGGCCAAACTGCAACAAGAAAATAGCCGGGCTTTGTGGCAGGCGCCTGTAATCTCAGCTACTCGGAAGGCTGAGGCAAGAGAATTGCTTAAGCCCAAGAGCTAGAGGTTGCTATGAGTTGTGACGCCATGGTACTCTACCAAGAGTGACAAAGTGAGACTCTGTCTCTAAAAAAAAGTTTAACTTTACCTTTTTTGAACTTTTTTTGTTAAATGTACCACATTTCACTTGAACTGAAAAATGTATGTAGAAGTAGGTTATTTTCCTGCCCAACTCTTTAATTCCTTCCCATTATACTTGGAATATAATTTAAAAACCTACATGTACTTCTTTTATTATTCAGCCTCACCTTTCACCATTCTCTTTCTAGAAAAACTTGCTTTCTTTCAGCGTTTCAAACCTACCAAACCATTTCTCATCTCAGGGCTTTGCCTGAAATGCTGTTCTCCTCTTTATGTGTCTGACTAACTCTTAGTCATCCTTCAGGTCTCAGCTTTAAGGGCATGGTCTCTAACCATCCCATCTCACTTACATATGTTCC